ATTATTAACTCCTCTTTACAGATGAGGAAACTGAGGCTCAAAAAGCAAAAGCAAAAAGCAAGGAAAGCAGCTTTCTGAACTCACATTGCCACCTGTGTCTCTGTCCACATGTGTCCTCCCTGGTCAGGGCACACTGAGCTGCTGTGAGGTGGCCCGCTCCGTTCGGTCACTCTAGCACATCACCCAGTTTTGCTTAGGTATAACATACGCCCCTACATGAACTCCTTTTTTTTTTTTTTTATAATTGTCCTCTTTCTCTTTCAAATAGAAGTTTACCTTTTGCTTAGCAAATGTGAAGCCCTGAGGCCCTGAGTTCCAACCATAAATAAACAAATGAACAAACAAACAAGTTTGCCTCCTGCCCTAACAATCACATGTATTCAGAGCCTAGAAAAGGCAGAGCACATAGCAGAGACTCAGATGGGAGCTGGAAGCAATGAACTATCTGAGGAGGGAGGACAGGGGGAGACCAGGTCCCCATATGAGTTCTGCCCACACTTGCAGGTCCTGGGCTTCCTCCACACTCCTCCCCAACTCTTCCCTTGGTGGCAGCTTCTCAGAAAGCCTTTCTCAGGCAGAGAATCTCAGAGGACAAGCTGCCTGGAGTTTCAAGTTTGGAGAGGCTATGACCAGACAGGTTAGGCAAGAGCCAGGCAGCTGGGGGTGGGCCCCACCCTGCCAAGCTCTCCCTGCCCCACTGCTTCCTCCTGCAGAGGACCATGGTGACATAGGTCACACAGGGGGCTTTAAAGCCCAGCTGGACTCTTCCCATTGAGATCTTTCCAGGTCTCTGTGTCCATGACCACCCTGGGACAAGGGGAGCCTCCCCTCTCATCCCTCCTACCTCCTACCAGGGTCTGGCTCCTGGCTCCAGCAGGTTGATGTACTCAGCATCATCAAGCCTGGAGATGCTACTAGGCAGAAGCCCCAGAGTGCAATTGTCACAGCAACCCACTGAAGTGTCCCCAGGAGCCTCTCTCTCAGGCTTCCTGTTAGCCACCCAGGATAAGATGTTTTCCTAGAACCCAAGTCCCAGACAGGACTGAGAGAGATGGGATCCAAGGGCTCCTCCTCCTCGTAAGGTCCACAGTCAAAGCTGGCAGTCCAGTATGTCACCTGGTCGCTGACACTGACAATGAACATAGCCTTCAGGGTGAACCTACCCTGTGCCCACAACGGAAGGGTGGGGGCGGGGTGCCTCCACCCCACCTCTTCCTGGGGCCTCCTTAGAACAAACCCAGCCTCACACCCCATGACAACACCATGCACATGGACCCCCCCACTGTAACCTGCCTGTGCACAGGGCAAAGCTCAGAACTCAGCACTGCTTTGAAACCACATCTAGAGAAGCCTGAGTTCAAGCCCCAGTACTGCCAAAAACAAAAAACAATGCAAACAAACACAGACAAGAAACCACATCTGTGAGTGAATCTTCAGAAAGAGCTCGGGCAAGAGTGAAGATGGTTTGACCACCGTCCTTACTCTGTGACCATGGCCTGGTTTCTGTCCCTCTCTGAGCTTTGGCCTTCTCTCTCACCTGCACAGTGGAAATAGAAATTGTGAACCTCTGGCCCAGAGGTCTCAGCTAGGTGGTAGATATATTGCATATAACTCATCAGAGTTTAATTTTTAAAATTAGTTCCTCACATTTACAAATTAGATTTTGGTGCAACTAAAAGTTTTCAGCTTAGATTAGAAATTGAGAGGACTGGGCTGGCTGCTGTGGCCCCACAGTCCTACCTACAACAGCTGACAGGCCTGGCAGCAATGGTTCCTCTATCTGGGGCCTTAGTCACTTGGACACCATACTGCCCTCTCCTCATTGCCTGTGTCTCCACCAGCTCACATCACTTGCCTATGTCACCTGCCTGGCTCTCACAGGAGCCTAAGTATGCATCCTCCAAATGTGATTCTGAGCTCAACCAGCCTGACTATTCATTGGCTCTGCCAGGCCCAAAGTTGCTGTTTCAGAATCCTCAGGGACAACAATCATCAGTACTCTTTTCTTGACCTTGTGAAGACAAATGTTGGTGTTTCTGATGATAACCCAATGTATAAATAGCTGGAGAACCAGGTGAGTGCAACACCTGTGCAATCTCATCTGCGCCTGGTGTCCTCAAAGGCTGGGCATGTGTCATGATTCAACTTAGAGACTGCCCTTCCTCCTGATACCATTCAGGATAGCCCAGGTAGGGATGACCTCAGTGCTGAGCCTGAGGGAAAGGTAGAATTTTTCTATGGCTCATACAGGAGGTAGTGATGATGTCTGATTTTCCAAAGAGGGCAGGAGGAGAACATGAACGAAGGAAGCTGTGGGAGGGGGCATAGCACCCCAGTGCATTAAACAATGTCAGACTTCAGCCTGGTCTTCAGGGCCCTCTGTGATTAGGCTCCCATGGGTCTTTCAGCTCATGTTCACTATCACAGTCCTTCCTTGAAGGTGCCTTGACCTCAATGATGTTGCTTATTCCTCCAGAACCACCCCTTCACATCTTTGTGCCTCTGTCAGACGCTGTCACGTTCAGGCTGATCACCATGTGAGAACTGTTCCTCCAGTCTGCTGGGCTCCTCAGCTCCCTCTACCTTCCCACTTTCTATTTTCCTGTTGCTGTCTGTCCAAAGCCTCTCTCTTGCCCTGCTGACCCAATCCCAACTCCTTGATGATTGCCAAAAGGGTCTGGCATGCAATAACTCTGACCTTGATGTCAGAAAGTCCCAGCTTCAACACTCTGCCTTTGGCAATTCACTGGCCCAATTCTGGGCCTCTTCCCTGTTGTGAAAAGGAGCTGCCATGCTGAGCAGGTTTGCTCAGGACTGAGGAAGGGCTTTGAGATCTGAAGTGGTGCTGTGATGAAGGTAGTTAGGGCTGCTTGTGCATCAGCAGGGTGGGGAAGAAACTGAGCCCTCCCCCAAGAGCAGAGGGACAACAGGGTACCACTGCTCCCACTGGTGTCTCAGGGGGCTTTGTGAGCTCAGGGCCTCGTACTGGCAGCAGAGAGCCTAGGACTTGTCTTTTTCTTTCTTTGTTTCTTTTTGGCAGCACTGGGGTTTGGACTCAGGGTTTCACATTTGCTTGGATAGGCACTCTTACTGCTTGAGCCACTCTGTCAGCCATTTTTTGTGTTGGGTATTTTCAAGATAGGGTCTCACGAACTATTTGCCTGGTCTGGCTTTGAACCACAATCCTCCTGATCTCTACCTCCTGAGTAGCTAGGATTATAGGCATTAGCTACGAGTGCCCAGCAGAGCCTGGGGCTTTTAGGAAGCTTCATTGCAAGGCACATGGGGTGATTCCTCTTTTCTGCTTTCAACTCCACAGTATGTGCTGACAGCAGAGGAATCTGGGAGATGCACTAAGTGCTCAAGCAGGGTAGGGAATGAGTGGGTTCCCCAGGTAGGCTGCTTACTAGAGGACACAGTCACAAAAAAAAAAAAAAAAGAGCCACTTCCCAGGGCAAAGTAGAGCCCATCCTGGACTGGGGCCTAGAGAACATTCCATAGGGTTTTATTGAATGCCCATCCCCTTCCTAGGCCAAAAATGCAGAGGAGGGGGCTGCGAACCTCCAGAAGAGGAGCCTGGACATTGCCCTGACCTCCTGAATTTTCTTGGGCCAGCAGTGTCTGCCAATACCTTTCCATGAGCAGATTCAGGGACTGGGCAGGGAAGTCCAGAGCTGGTCCCAGCTCAAGCCCTCCTGTCTCCAAGGCTCAGGTCCTCTCCCTTCTCTGGCCCCCTTTCTCTGAGCCCTGCAGCCGAGATCCTCTGCTCTGTAGACCCCAAGCCCTAGCAGTCAGTCTAGATTCTGCCCAACACTGATGGATGGTGCTTAACAGTTGACAAATCCCTCTCTCTTAGGAAAGGCCTAAGTTCATTTTATCATCACTCCTTTTCTGGAGATCTGGGAGGACTGCACAGGCTGGAAGTTGGGGTCCAGGGTACTGTAACGCTGGCAGAGCTTTCCTCTCTTTGGGTCTCAGTTTCCCATCTGTGGAGTACAGGTGTTGACCCAGATGCCCTCTCAGGGCCCTGACTGGCATTCACTTATTGTGGGCTTTCCATACCTCCTAGGCTGCTGTGATGCCCACCCTTAGCCCATAGGGTTTAAATCCCCTCCTGTGGTCCCCCTAAGCAGTCCCTTCTCTTCTGTCATTCACATGGCCACTTCTGATCTCAAAGCCCTTCTCTTGCTCTGTCACTTTTCCTTGTACTCCCTGTGGAATGGCTTCTGGCAGTTGCCTGCAGAAGGTGCAGTTGACCAGGTGAGTGTTGGTGAGAGGGGATCCAGCAACTGCCAGGCCTGGCTGGAGCGGGGAGGGATTAGGTCTGTCATTCTCCCAGGTTGGAGAGGAGGGGGCAATTCCAGAGAGCTGGAGCCTGGCAGGAACACAATAGACCCAGGCTACATTTCCTGTCTGGTTGGCAGAGAGTCTGGTCTCTAGAAGCAAATAGGAACAGTCCCCGGGCAGGACAAGAGGACCGTGGTCATCTTGTGTGGTGAAAGGGAGGTGTCTGCTAATCTGCTTCCTCCTGCTGCTGCTCCCTCTCTAATCCTGCCTCTTATCTCCACTTTTCTCCGACTTTCAATGCAGCATCTCTCTTGGTCTCTCTTTGTAGGGACTATGGAGGGGGGTGGCAGGAGGCCATTTGGCCTGAGCCTCACATAAATATTTTGCTATTATATTCAAATAAAAACATATGGATGCTGGTGTCACGTGTTAGCATTTTTTTTTTCTTTTAAAAAATATACTGGGACCCTAACAAAAACGGAACTGGCCTCTTTTTGCACAGTTGTGTCTATCCCTAGGGGTCTCTGGCCTTGGTCAGGGCCTCCTTCACAGGACTTCACCTTCTGGGGCCACACGAGCTGACTGCGCTGCCCGTTGACGCCGGCAGGGGTCGCTCGCAGACAGGCCCAAAGGGGGAGGAGGCATGCAGGGGGCGGAGCCTCAGCGTCGGCGGACCAATAAAGGTGACGGCGCGCGACCTCCGGAAACCGCTTCCTAGGCGCGGGGACTTTGCTGTGCGGTTCTCTCTGCCGCCTCGTTCCCGCTTCCCAACAGATCCGCGATGCTGGCGCTGCGCTGCGGCCCCCGCCTGCTCGGCTTGCTCCCCAGCCCACGCTCCGCGCCGCTGCGCCTCTCCGCGGCCCGCGCCTGCAGCAGCAGTGGAGCCAGCGATGCGTCCTCTTCCTCCCCCCGGAACCCACTGTGTACCTGGACGTCGGCGCAGACGGGCAGCCGCTCGGCCGCGTGGTGCTGGAGGTGAGAACACTGGACCCGATATGTATGGCCTGGGAGTGGGGGACGGTCTGGGGGCAGCCCTGGACACTGGCCGGTGCCTGGTGCTCTGGGTGACCTTGAGCCCCCCCCCTCATTCTGGGCTCAGGACCTCAGTTTCCCCGTCTCCGAGAAGGGGCATCAGCTTGGTCCCTCCTAGCCTCTCGGAACCGTGGAGACGTGGAGGTGGGGGGGGCAGGTGTGGAGGAGAAAGTTCAAGGTCAGATCGCAGAGGGTGAGGGCCCGGCGTACCGCTGGCTGGCCCGGGCTGAGGGAGAGGTTTCGAGGCCCTCCAGGACCCTCCTGAACCCGGAGCTCCCAGATGTGTGTGTTGGGACAGGGCCGGTGGTGGTGGAGGAGTCTGGACTGCGGGTTAGGCAGGGCGCTCACGTGGCGGCCCCAGCAAAGGCCAGGCCCGCGCCAGGGCAGATCTGAGATGTCCCTCTTGACAGTAGGGAGTGTGCGGGAATCCAACCCCAGCCACTCTCTTGGGGATCGACATTCAGCACTTGCCGCAGGCTCTTTCTTTAGACCCTTTTAAAAACAAAGTAGGAAACATAGTGGCCCAGGTAAAGGGAGAACCTAGTGTAGCCTTCAAGCTACACTTTGAACAAAGTGCCAGTTAGTGTTGACTGAACTGTTTACAGGGGGTCCATGGTATTTCTTTTTATGTCTCAATTTACTCTTGTGGAAAATGGGGAGTACCCTCCCTGCCCTCAGTTGGTGGAAGAGTTACTTGAAGTCAAGAGGCCAGCTTGGATGGTGCTCCAGCCTCCCCTTAACCACTGCTGCTCTCTGGACCTCATTTTTCCATCTGGGCCTCCTTGGACTGGCTCCTCTCTAGTCTATGCCCCATGTGGGTCCAGCCAAAGGAGCTGACCTGCCAGTTTTTTCCAGGAAGTGGGCGAGGATGGCAGTGGTATTTCTTCTGATAGATTGGGAAATTGAGGCTGCTTCTCCCAGTCTTGGGTTCAGGAAGCAGCTGCCAGGAGCGATAGCTGCTTTGCCTCTGCTTGGCAGTCAGAGGAATGTGCGTGGTTCTTTCTCACACTGCCTTGGTCACTCTGGGTATTGAGTGAGGAGGCTCCTTCCTGTGCCTGCCTCTGGACTGACCATCTTCTTTTGTCTCTCTTCCCCACAGCTGAAGGCAGATGTCGTCCCCAAAACAGCAGGTAAGACAGAGCCAGGGTCTTCTGGATCTAGTCTAGGTAGAAGGGAACAGGCAGGGCAAGACAGATTGGCTAGAGGGAGGAGTTGGGACTCTGAAACCATAAACTGGTAAGAGTTCATGTAAGGAGCACCTGCTGGGCACCCATTGGCAGCTTTCTGTCCCTCTGTGGGCTCTGCCATCTGTCTAGTAGAAGCTGAGAACCATGAAAGACCCATGTAAATTCCCAACTTCCTCCTTCTGTTACTCAAGGGGGTGAGGTTGTGTACACAGCCCTTGGACTCCCTGCCTGGCTAGCTTCTACTCTTGTCATAGTATTTAGGACCTGGGATCAGGGTGGGAAGTGACTTGTCCTAGTCACACAGTAAGTTAGACAGAGTGGACCCAGAAAGGGGAGTCCAGAGTCTTTCCACATCAGTTTCACTTGCTGGGGGGGTTGGTGTGAACCCACAGCGGGGCTGGCCCTTTTGACCCATCTCTCCTCCTTCCTCAGAGAACTTTAGAGCCTTATGCACTGGTGAGAAGGGTTTCGGCTACAAAGGCTCCACCTTCCACAGGGTGATCCCAGCCTTCATGTGCCAGGTAACATGCCTCCATGGTCTCTGCTGTGACTGGGGATAGCAGCGGGAGCTGCCTGGGAGATTGGGAGGAGTACTGATAATTGAGCAGGTACCTGGTGCGTGGAAAGGATGGAACAGGGGACTGCTCCACCATTTTGTCCCCTCACTCTGTGAGGCTACACCTTATTCAAGTTGTGATGGACCTTGCCTGCCCAGGACCAGTGGCAGGATGGCCCTGCACAGCTGCACTGGGAACCTGTCAAGGGAGAGCTGGGGTTGGGGACAGATGTACATGGGGAAGGAGGTGGACCTAAAGACTTTGAAGGGCCAGCCGAATCATAGTCTTGGTCTTGTCCCTGCGTGTGTCTCCCTCCGCACTGGGCATGGGAGATAAGGAGGAAGAGAGAAAGGGATAGGAGGAAGAGGAAGAACAGGGCCCAGGCACGGCCTAGACATGCCTGGACTTGGAGCTGCTTTTCCGCCAAGGGCATTTTCTTAGTTAAATGAACTTGTTATTTGTCCTGCCTGCTTTTCAAAAGGATTGGTATTGCTAGGTCAGGTTTAGGAATAGATGTTAGCGGCAAGTACTGCCCTGGAGGTCTGCACTAAGCAGTTTCAGAGGTTGTCTTCTATTGGGCCAGACCCGCAAGGTCCTGGGGCAAACATAGCCTAGGGCCAGGAGTATAGATGTCATGGCTTCTGAAGTCCTTCCTGCCCTGAATTTTCTGCCCATTCCCTTGATCCTGATCCAGTGACTGCCATACCGTAGTGAATGGCAGTGGGTTGAGACTGGGCCTGCTGACGTTCTGTGGTGCCTGGATACACATTGAACATGTTGAAGGCAGGGAAGGGCAGGCAAGGCTGTGGCTGTGGGGCAAGCCTGGCCAAGCTCTGTGGCCTCTGCCCCAGGCTCTCTGTTCCACCTGGGGCTGGTGGGTGAAGCAAGAGCTAAGATGTGCATCCAGAGCCAAGTAGGAACTTACAGATTTGGAGAGTCATCCGGCATGAGATAGTAGCCCCTGGCACCCAAGCCAGGTGTCTGGGACACTGAATTGGCATCTGTGGATGCTTTAGCAGGACTGAGCAGGTCACCCCTCTCACCTAAGGATCCCGTCTCAGGAAATCTGCAGTTTGACCGCAGCCAGTGACCGACATGGGCAGCCACAAGGCTCTTCTGGCCAAGAACTTCATGGAAGTCCTGCCAGGGCTGCCTGAACCTTAAGTGAGTTCTGAGTGTGGAAGGGTGCCAGCCTTGGCAGACGCTGTCCTTGGTCACAAAGTACAGAGAAGTGCTGGGCTTGCTGAGAGAGTAACCAGGGCAGGGATGGGACTTGGCCTGAGGAACTGGTCTGCTCCTATAGACCAGACTGAGGAATGGTACCCTGGTCACCTCTTGTTGCTCTCTAAGAGTGATGAGTTGAAAATCCTGAGTCACCAAGAAACAGCTCGGAATGGGTTCTTCTAGGATTACTTAAAAACAGACAAAAGGTGTAATTGTTCAGGAACTGGGGTAGTTATTACAGCAGAAAATATTTAAGCTTTGCTTTCTTTTTGCGTATTTCCCTTATTATTTCATTAGTCCTTATTTCATTGGATGTTTATTGGCCCCTTTGCCTGAGGGGCTTCTGTCTGGGTGGTCCTTGGGTAGGTTGGGGCTGCCTCCCAGCGCTGGAGCAGTACCTGCTGCCAGCTGTGTGTGGCGACCACTCAGAAGGTGTTCTGTGTGCAGGCAGGTGACTTCACCAACCACAATGGCACAGGGGGGAAGTCCATCTACGGGAGCCGCTTTCCTGATGAGAACTTCACACTGAAGCACGTGGGACCAGGTGTGTGGGGACTACTGCCCTCTGAGTGCTCCCCCAGTTCCAGCCCAGCCTGTAGCCCTGGGAGGCTGCAGTTGATAATTGCTTAACATTCAGAGATGAGCCTTCCCTTCTTCAGTATCTGGGAAGCTCAACATTTCTGGCTCGTTCCCACTCTCAGTTGAAAACAGGCTTCCTTTAGGGAACTCGGTATGGGAGAACTTTAAGCAGAACCTCAGCACGGTGTTGCCTATAAGACCCAAGGTGGAGGGTGGCAAAATCTAAAGGTTGCAGCCAATGTTCCTGCTTTGCTTCACACTGAAGAGCTTTGCCAACGCCCTCTCCTCCCAGGTCACCCCAGGGAGACCTAGCAGGCAGCCAAGGCAGACAAGCCACAGGAACTGTGGGATGACCCAGGATCTGCAGACTCAAATGTCCTTGATGTTGCTTGAGCTTCTGCACTTGTGAATTGCTTCCCAGGTGAGATGCCTCCTGGGGCACCAGGCTTACCTCTGCTTGCTTTTTGCAGGTGTCCTGTCCATGGCGAATGCAGGCCCCAACACCAACGGCTCCCAGTTCTTCATTTGCACCATAAAGACAGATTGGTGAGTTCCCTGCTCCAGACCCTCTGGGAGTGACAAGCAGCCTTGCAACTGAAGGAGAGTTTGTGCAGTATGTGTCCAGAACATCTACTGTAGGACAGTGGCCTTCTCCCTGTCTGGGTGTCTGTGTGCGAGAGAAAGTTAAAAGGATCAAGGGAGAATTGGGTTGTTCCTGCAACCTGTTGTAATTAAACTTCCCATTGGTGCTGCTGGCTGGAATCTGCTGTGTTCTGCACATGCAAAAGGATCGCTGTACACACATACTTGGGAAATGCTGTAGCACATTAGACCTTGTGATGGCCTGAATAGAAGCTGGCTTGCTTGGTTTGCTTGGTATAACCCAGCTTATAGCCACATGGGGTACACCTGGGAAAGAGCTACAGTGGACAGCTGGGTTTCCATTAAGCAGCTCCCAACTGCTCACAGCCCCCTTTCTCACACGTTCACAGATTCTAGGGATGTCTTTTTCCCTGCTGAAATTTCGATTAAGGGATAAGTTTCTCTGCTCAGAGTCCCTAGTGTCTTAGGCCTGGGGTACCTGTGGTGGGGATAAAAGCTGACTGGGAGCTCTAACATCATAAAGCCCATTTTCAGGACTTTAGGGAGACCCAGGTGGTAGGGTGGGCATTTGCTAGTCTCTACCCTCTAGGCAAGAAAGATGGAGATGGTGGGGCAGGACAGGTCTTGCTGGCTCTGCTCTCTTTGCTTCTTCTATGGAGCCTTTAATGGGTCTTGCCATTCTGCCCTTGGCTGTCACCACTCTTGGCTTCACTGGAGCTAACTAAGTATATTCTCGGAACTCTCAAATCAGGAGCTGTTCAGGACTTCCTTGTTTCCCTGCACCTATCATTTTGTCACTCACTGCACAGTTCATGACTGTTAAAGAGGTTCTATTTCTTTGGACCTCTAACTTTTTCAAAGTAGCTCAGTACCCTGTCATCTCCTTGGGCAGAACAGTGGCTCACTTGTCATAGATGAGATTGTCAAGATTCAGGTTGAGTGGTCTGGGGCAAGGTCTCCCTGAGAGGGCAGCACAATGCATTCTGGGAGCCAGGCATCCTCTGGGCTGCCTTTAAGGAGCTTAGCAAGGCCTCATCAAGCTTCAGATTGTGGAGCTGGGTACTCAGGGGTTCTTCTCAGAGTTGCTATTTTTGGTAAATAATTGTGTGACCTAGTGGCTCACCTTTCCTCACAGGCTGGATGGCAAGCATGTTGTGTTTGGCCATGTCAAAGAAGGCATGGATGTCGTGAAGAAAATAGAATCTTTCGGCTCCAAGAGTGGAAAGACATCCAAGAAGATTGTCATCACAGACTGCGGCCAATTGAGCTAACTGTGGCCAGGGTGCGAAGATGGTAGCCACTGTCTGTGTGTTGACTCACCCATGGGCTCTTAGCATAGGTGCCCCAAAGGGTCACCTTTGCTCACTCCCTGCCACTGTGTGCCTGAGGAAGGCCACTCAGGAATGTGCACCTCCACCAGAACCCACCAGTCTGATTCCTAATGCCTGCCCTTCCTTGTGACTCTATTTTTGGGCATTCAGTGTATCTCACAGCTCTTGTCAATCACAGCCTGTGATTGCCCAGCTCAGGTTCATGTGTGCCTCAGTGATACGTTAGCATCCAAGGAAGGGTTCTGCCTTTCTTGACCAAGTGGGTAGCCAGTTGCTGTTTAATGATGTCTTCCTAATTGCAATAACTTAATCAACAACATTGCCTAGAAATGAAGCTGTGACACTGACTACATCGTGCCGTGAGGCCACCTGAGTTGGCGCAGGCCTGAGAACTCCAGAGCCTGGCTTTTGAAACACAACTCAGGCTTTAGTGAAAGTCTGCAAGAGTGAGGCCTTCCTTCTGATTACTGTGAATCTCACTGGTTGCTGCTGTCATTTTTGAGAAGGGACTGAGGGTTAGAGCAGTTGGGCCTGGGAACAAGCCTGCTAACTGTGCCCAGTCAATGTGAATTCCTGTGTTGGAAGCTTCTGGAAAAGACTTGTAAGCGCCCTGTGCTCAGGAGGAATGTGTTTCCTGGTGGGCTTTACTTTTTCTGTGCATTGAATAAATCTAATCTGATGATGTATATAAAAGATTTCTGGAACGTTCATGTTCACCTTAAATGTGATAATAAATCCTATTTTCTATAAAACACTAGTGTCTGTGGTTTTAGAAAGAAATTGTCTTTAAGTATTTTGAGCCAACTTACTGAATTTCCATCTGTCAGGTGCTGTGGTAAGCGCTTTTTCTTTATTTTGGTGGGACTGGGGTTTGAACTCAGGGGTTTGCACTTGCAAAGCAGGTACTCTATTGCTTGGGCCAAACCTCCAGCCCATCTTGCTCTAGTTATTTTGGAGGTGGGGTCTCACAAACTATTTGCCTGGGTTGGCCTTGAACTGTGATACTCCCAATCTTGCCAGCTGAGTAGCCAGGATTACCGGAATGAGCTGTTCATTTATTTATTTATTTTTTGGTGGTACTGGGGCTTGAACTCTGGGTCTTGCCCTTGCTAGGCAGGTGCTCTATCACTTGAGTCACACCCCCCAGCTCTTGTTGCTTTAGTTTCTTTTTGAATAGGGTCTCATGTTTTTGCCCAGGCCTCAGTCTTCCTACTTATGCCTCCCACATAGGTGGAATGACAGGTGTGTGCCACCATACCCTACTTTATTGGTTGCTATGGGCTCTCATTAACTTTTGCCCTGTGATCTTCCTTATCTCCTCCTGAGTGACTAGGATTACAGCTATGAGCCATCACAGCAGGCTTTTTTAAAATTTAGTTTTGTAGGACTGGGAATGGAGCCCAGGGCCTTGCACAGGCTAGGCCAGAAACCCTACCACTGAGCTACACCCTCAGCCCTATACTATGGGCTTCAGTGTGGACTAACTTATTTATTGTGATTACCCAACTCAAGTTCATGTGTGCCTCAGACAGTGATAGGTTAGCATCCAAGGAAGGTTTCTGCTTTTCTTGACCAAGTGGGTAGCCAGTTGCTGTCTAATGATGTCTTCCTAATTGAAATAGCTTAATTAACAACATTGCCTAGAAATGAAACTGTGAGGCCACCTGAATTGGCACAGGCCTGAGAACTCCAGAGTCTGGCTTTTGAAACGCAATTCAGTGACCTGTGAATGAGTTGTTGCCATCCCTGCTTTAGAGATGAGGAAGTGGAGACCCAGACAATCTCAGCATCCACAGCCCTCACCGTGATCACTGGCTCCACCTTGAACCCCACCTCTGCCCAGAGTGACCTGAGTTTCTGTTTTCCTTAGCTGCATTATGGGAATGTATATGCAAAACACCCATGTCACAACTTAGTGGGGATTAGGTGTGACCCGTGCGCAGTGTATAGAGTGGTGCCTGAGGTGTCCTCAGAGTAAGCACTCTGGTATGATGATGTCATTGCATGAGTCAGCCTTAGGAAGGGGGAGAAATGCCTAAGTGAATGAGCCTTGATCATCTTAAGGCTGGGAGTGGATTTCATTACCCTTGATGTACCACTCAAATTCAGGATTGTAGGTGTTTCTAAATTTGCAGGGAGAGCAGGAGGGGATTCATAGGAAGTGGGAAGGGATTAAGAGCTTCCTTAAGGCAGCCAGGACCATATCTTGTCACGGAGTGAAGGGGTCAGGCAGGTAGTTCCAGGAGAAGGCACTTGGGCTCTGGTTGGGGCATCTAAGGATTATTTCTCACAGGGTTCCTGAGTCAGGTTACGTGAGATCACAGGTTGGCACGGTCACTCTAAGGTCATAGTGGCTGGAGTTGGTCCTTCAGAGTTACAGAGTTTCCCTGAGATCAGAGTTTAGCTGCATGTGTTGGGAGTTTTTAAACAATTCTGAAGAATTTTAGGGGTTCTTGGAGAGCAAGGGGGGATGGGCCTGACCCCAAGTCCCATTTGCAATCATAGATACTCTCCATTTTATTATAGGGAGTTCGGTAAGGAATTTCATTTGAGGAATGGAATCTGAGCCAAATAACTGATAATTGTTCATCCAGTCCAACAGGTCACAGGTGGGTAAACTGAGGCCCCAGGAGGGATCATAAGTGCCCCAAGTGACCCTATGTGTTTATTGGCAGAACAGGGGCTAGAACCCAGGGTCCCTGTGAGTCCTAAGAACACACGCACTCCTTCAGGTCACACATTCACATGCAACTGTCTTCTGAAGTCAAAGCCATGATGTTGGTTCCTGTAGGGGTTCCTCCTGCCCTGGGGCACTCCAGGGAGCAGTGACAAATTTGAGGGACAGCCACTTGAGCTGTGATCTGCTGGCTCTATAGTAGTTTCTGAGAGGTCTCAGGGTGACAGACTTGGGAGGCTCATATTTAGTCACTGGGTATTTCTTGTTGAGAGGGGAGTGTGTGTGTGTGTATGTGTGTGTGTGTGCGTGCTGCAGTGCAAGAAATTGAACCCAGGACCTTGCATGTGCTACATAAGCACTCTTACTACCGAAATACACCTCCAGCCCAGGTGGGATTTATTGCATACAAATCCAAGTGTGACATGTATGTAAATGCAAAATGAGACCTGTTGAAACTATTCCAGGAATTGGGGGGAGAGGGGACAAAGAAGCATGGTGGAAGGGGGTGAATTCAAGTATGATATATTTGATACATTGTAAGAACTTTTATAAATGCTACAAAGTACCCTCACCAAGCACAACATAAAAAAAAAAAACAACAGAAAACAAATCCAAGTATGACTTAGTCCAGGGATGCAAGGTTGATAAAACATTGGAAAATCAATATAATACAATATATGATAATTATGTGTATACTATTATATAACACAGTATCAGTAAAATGAAAGACAAAAATTGCATAATGGATCTTAATAGATGCAGAAAAAAACCCAAAATATACAACACCTTTTCTTGATTTAAAAAAGAAAAACAAAAACAAGTCAAAAGTTAGGTCTAGAAGGAAACCTTTTGAATCTGATAAAGGCATCCGTGAAAAGCCCACAGCTGACATCACACTGAATGGTAAAAGATCAGACACTTCCACCTCACGATCAGGAAGTTCCCACTCGGAACTTCTACTCAGAGTTGTCCTGGAGGTGCTGTAGCCTTCAAGGCAATTAGGGCAGAAGAAAAAGCTCCTAATTTGAAAAGGAAGAAATAACACCATAGTTTCAAATAGAGGAAAATCTTTAGTAACCCACTATAAAATTTTTAGAACTCATAAACAAGTACATCAACATTGCATTGTATGAGGTCAATGTACAAAAATCAAATTTATTTCTATTCATTTGGAATGATCAATCCAAAAATAGAACTTAGAAAATTTTATTCACAATAGAATTCTTAGGAATATATTTAACAACAACAACAAAAAAAAAACCACCTCACACATACTTTGAAAACTAAAACATGAATGGAAAAAAATTACATCTAAATCAATGGAAAGCATCCCATATTCATGAATCTGAAGGTTAACGTGATTAAAACATCAGTATTCCTCAAACTGATCTATAGATTCAACACAACCCTGAAGGAAATCTCAAAGGACTTCATTGTACAAATTACCAAGCTGATGCTAAAATTCCTATGGAACTATAAGGGACCCCGAATAACAACAGTCCTGAAAAATAAGGATGAAGTAGGAGGACTAACACTTCCTGATTGCAAAACTTACCAAAAAACCTAGACGCCGGTGGCTCACGCCTATAATCCTAGCTACTCAGGAGGCAGAGATCAGAGGATCATGGTTTGAAGTCAGCCCTGGGCAAACAGCTCATAAGACCCTTTTTTTGAAAATACACAACATAAAAACAGAGCTGTTGGAGTGACTCAAGTGGTAGAGCATCTACCACTACTCTCTACTCAAGCGTGAGGCCCTGAGTTTAAATTTCAGTATGCAAAAAACAAAAACAAAACAAACACTGCAAAGCAGTGACAATTGGGACAGTGTGGCATCTATGATCAACTGATTTTCAACAAGGATGCCAAGACCATTCGGTGGGAAAGGAATTGACTCAAAATGGATCAAGGACCTAAAAATAAGAGTAAAAACTGCAAACTTTTAAAAGAAAATACAGAGATAAGTATTAATAATCATTTCCAAAAGATTCATAGATGACACAAAATAAAAATAAAAAGATAAATCAGATCATCAGAATTAAAAACTTTTCTGCTTCAAAGGACATCACAAGAAAATGAAAAAACAACCCACAAAATGGAAGGAAGTATTTGCAAATCATACATCTAATAAGGTATTTGTAGCTAGTATACATAAAAATACAAGTCAACTCAACAAGAAAAAGCAAGCTAGACGTGGTGATGTGTGCCTGTAATCCCAGCACTTGGGAGGCTGAGGTTGAGGATTGGGAGTTCAAGGCCAGCCTGACCTGTTACATAGCAAGACTCTCTGGAAAAACCAAGGCTGGGGATGTAGCTCAGTAGCAGAGAACTTTCCTAGCATCCCTAACACCACAAAATAAAATAAAAAGATAAATAACCCAATTTAAAAGTAGACAAAGGATCTCTTTGGAGAAAAATCTATTCAATAGCAAATGAGCATCAGAGAAGACGGTGACATCATTATTCACCAGGGAAATTCAAATTAAAACCACAGGGAGAGGCCACCTCAGCCACTAGGAAAGTATCAAAAGTCGGGTAATGAGTGTTTGCAAGGATGGGGAGGAACTAGAGCTTTGCCGAATGATGGGATATCAACTCATCCAGCTGCTTTGGAATGTAGCCTGACAGTTCCTCACGTGGTTCAACATGGTTTCCACGTGATCAGCAATGACATTTCTGGGTATATACCCAAGAGAAGTGAAAACACATGTCCACGCGAAAACTCACGTGTGTTTATTGCAGCATTATTAATAATAATCAAAAGGTAGAAACAACCCAGTGTCCCTCAGTGGGCAGGTGCACAAACACAAGGTGGTATATCCACCCGTGGAATATTACCCGACTGTTAAGAAGAATGGAGTACCGATGGGCGCCTCGACAATATTACACTAAGTGGAAGAACCCAGCCACAAATCCCATGTACGAACCCGGGGGTTGAGAGAGACAGAAAGTAGATTAGTAGACGCTCAGGGATGGAAGGGGGATTTGGGGCATGTCCATAGGTGATAGCTAAGATGTATGAGGGTTCTTCCTTTTGTTTGATGGTACTGGGGCT